AGACATTGACCACTCTATTGCTGAAGTCGTATTTCCTGCAATCAAGTCTGGTGCGGTTAACTTTGAGTTTGTATCTGTTGTGTGCTCTTGTGTTGTTATGGTTGAAGCTGAAGTATTCATTGACAGGTAGGACATTGCAATGTATGATTTTATATACCATGCTTAAATCAGACCGAAGACGGCGTGATTCAAGGTTTTCTAGTTCTAGAATTTCAAGTCTGGTGGCATAAGGTATCTGAAATTATACCTCACATCTCCATATAAATGTGTCAAAATGTCACCCACCCCCAAACCATTGCTAGTGGAACAGTTATATGTTGGCATGTGATGATATATATGTGGGGGGGGGGGTCTTAATGTATAGGGCCAAACATAAGTCCTTCTTATGTTTACTCAACACCTGGGTTTTATGAAGAAAATCAATATTTTGATCAGGTTTTGTTTATGGAAGTCATGAGTTTTATGAGTCAATCCTAAATGTGATTTTAATATACTGAATTTATGGTTTTAGTTCTGTTCTTCTGAGAGAAATACCTCAAATTGTTAATTTAAGACTAAATAGAAAAGGGATAGAGAGATAAAGTGGTGGGGTTCATGTATTGCTATAAGCCATGGTTTGCTACAATTAAATCATTGTTATCAAAATAGAGTTGAAAATATTAAATGTTGAAGGGGAGATGAGAGTATAATCAAAATTCACTATATAGGTGGACTTTAACCAGAACCTAAGTGGATTTCTCTTTTAATTACTAATAGCTATCACTTGTTGAAATTACATAGAGCAGCACTGCAGTTAATCTACAGTGGAAGTGAGTTTTTTCTAAATTCCTTGTTGAAGTTTTAAGAATACAAGTATGAGTCCAGAGTTCTGAAAGCTGCTATATTTTTATTTTATTTATTTGATTTGTCAATTGCTTACAAGATAATAGATAAAAGTATAAACATGAGTAAGAATACAGGAAATAGATACGAATAAATGGGGACAATAGGACAGGAAAGATAGGCATGATTGTGCTCTTATGCACACCCCTTATTATTGTAAGACTCCTGAAAGCAGCCTCCTTTGATCTGGAAGCCCCCCCCTCCCCCCGCAGGTGTAAACTTCCCTAAAAGTCCATAGCCTACATTGCTGTTGCTAGGAAATCTGGGGCCTAAAATTCACATCTGATGAAGCTCAAATAAAAAGTTATCTTATGTCTTTATCTGCAGTAACTCCTTCTCCCTCCTCCTACTCCCTCTTTCTCTCATCTGTCATAGTAGTGTAGAAGAAAGATTTGGTTGGCACAGCCCTATTATTTTTAATTCGTTCTTTTGCAGCACTGGGAAAAAATGGCATTCCAGAAGAAAAATGTTAACTCCAACTTTCCATTTCACGATCTTAGTAGATTTCCTTGAGGTGATGATTGAACAAGCCAATATCCTTGTTCAAAATCTTGAACAACATCTGGACAAAGATCCATTCAACTGCAGTTTATACATTGTATTATGCACCCTTGATATAATCTGTGGTAAGATTTGATTATTGTCTAGTAACACTATATAAAAAGCTGAAATAAAGTCTAAAAATCCGTCTGTTTATGTTACAGAAAGGAATTTATTGTGATATTTGACAACAAGATAGCAACTTTTTCTATTGAGCCAAAGAGAAATACAATCTACTGGTAGTATTTCTTTTATAGGACCTTAATCTCAGAAACTAGGAGGAAGGCTGGGGCAAGAATTCCTTCTGAATGGAGCTCTGCAGAATTCATGCCTCAAAAAAACCAGCGAAACAAACTCAAAATATTCTGTTTCACACTGCATTCAGTTAAAATAGGACAAGTCTTTGTTTGGAAATAAATTAACTCAACCCTCTAAGCTGGTGAATGTCATGAATTTCATTAACAGCTAGGGTCATACATTACTCCAAATCCAGGTTACTTAACCATGCCTTACCGAGTGAATCACAATTGCTTTAGTACATAAACATGCTAAATCAAAATTCTAAGGATTATAACTCTTGAACACACAAGAGATAACTAGTCAAAACTAGACAGTCAGTATTATGGATTTGTGACTAATGTGAACCAGGCCACAACCCTCCTTTTTATTTCTCTAGAAACAGCTATGGGCAAAAATATTGGTGCACAAAAGAACAAAAATTCAGATTATGTTAAAGCTGTCCAAAGGTGAGTGTAAAGATGGTGATATATTCATATATTCCAATAGACAAATATGTTCCAACAGTCAGTTAGAAATTAATGAAGTCCAGTTAGTGAGTCCCAGACCTGACAAATTAGTTTTACATATATACTGTAGATTGCACAATTCCTATTCCAACATTATACAAAAATGAGACAAAACTGCTAGCAAGCTATGTGTCAAATCACATTGCACATTTGGTGGTTACAAAAAAATGTTATGGCAGAAGACCAAGCCAGCTAAGGGATGTCAATTAGTTCATTATCTAGTCTTTTAACATTTAACTAAAAAGTACACTATACATTCACATAACAAATTACTACATGCTAAGTTCCTGGTGTTCCCTGACTTTGTTTCTCTTCTGAAGATATCTCATTACCAGAAATGGGTAATATCATTAATGCATATGAATAGCCAACAAACTACTCTACAAAAGTAATATAACTTTGTTGTTTGTTACTCTAGTATGAGTGATTTAATTCATCATAGACAGAGATCACCATGGCTTTGGCCCAACCTTTTGTACAATATATCTGGAAAAGGAAGGCAACATTACATGAACCTGAAGATACTTCATAGCTTTACAGATAAAGTGAGTTCCAGAATGCCTCTTCATGTCATAGCTTGCTAACTTATTTGTATCCAGCTTTTGCAGTCATGCCTCTTTTATATTCGTATTTGACATTAATCTGAGTATTAGGCCTGTGGGGGGTGGCCTCATTTTATCTTGATGAGAGCTTTGCACCACGGCAGCCTATATGATTCTTCTCCCTGAGAGAGGCAGCAGCCTAATTTGTGTCACTTCTGGGATTTCTCTCCCTATTCCACCAAGAGCAACTATAACAGTTCTCTGAGGTAACTGAGAGACATCCCAAAAGCTGTGAAAAGCACAGTAATGCAGCACATTTACTTTTAGAAAACCATGAATGAGCGGGGGAGTTTGGCTTGAGAGAACAGCTTTGAAAGAATGTCTTGTATGAACCTTTATCAGTGAAACACCCATTAGTATTTAAAACATTTCATCTGATTCATTGTATTTTTCTGTTACTTCAATAACATAGCTTTTTAAAATGTTTCCTACTTAGCCTTATAAAGAAATAATGACCAAATTGTCAAATGTCTATTGTTCTTTGTGGTGGTGTCACCGTTTGAATCTAGAGCTTCTTGGACCAATAATTTATCCAATCTAAACCTACTATTACTGCTTTGTCACCACCAGAAAAGTCTCTATATGTGGGCATATCGGGGATTTGGGATATTTTCCTAGTACTCATAAAAGCCCTTTGCCTATCCTTCCATTTATGATCAAGTATTTTCGAGCCTATTTTTGAGTTCAGCTTTTTATCTGAATCCTGACGGTGTAAGATTACAGGGAATCTGAACTCTACATTTCCAAACAATCTTCAGAGATTTAGAGATATCTCTAAATTTGGCAGATAGATATATTAGATCAGAGGTTTCCAAACTTGGCAACTTTAAGACTTGTGGACTCTCAACTCTCAAGTCTTAAAATTGCCAAGTTTGGAGACCCCTGAATTAGATAGATAGAATGCAACCTTGAGATTGGTGAGCACCTTAAAGGTCCTACCCAATCCATTTAAAATTTTTAAACTTACAGCACCAACTTCTACGAGTTTTTCAATATACTGATGAATGGAACAAGAGGTTCTGTTCATTGAGACACATTCTACTATGTCGTTCTGTTCAGATTGATTTTACAGAACAATTTTTTGATTTATAGCTTGAGCCTGATCCTACGTTAGGTAGCAAGGAAATGCCCATCTAGGTCTGCCTAATGCTGGTGATTGATTTCCCTTTATCAGAATGCATATTCTCCTCTTAAAGAATAGCAGGTACTGTTCATTACAGATAGTCCTTGACTGACAACAGTTCATTTAGTGACTGTTCAAAGTTACAGTGGCACTAAGAAAGTCACTTATGACCATTTTTCAGACTTATGACTGTTGCAGCATCTCCATTGTTACATGATCAAAATTCAGATGCTTGGCAACTGATTCATGTTTATGATGGTTATAATGCCTCAAAATTATGTCATCACATTTTGCGAACTTTTGCAAAGCAAAATCAGTTACTAACTTAACAACTGCAGTGATCCATTTAACAACTGTTGCAAGAAAGGTAATAAAAATGGAGCAAAATTCACTTAACAACTGTCTCACTTAGCAACACACATTTGGGGCTCAATTGTAAGTTGAGGACTATCTGTACTTTTGCATGGTGTTGCACATAGCATATCTTGAATTATATATAAATGGTGTTTTCTCCCCACTCCCTAAGGTTATTGAAGAAAAACTGTGCAAAATAAAGCAACAGGAGCAATATCCAAAGGGTGCTGCCAGCAACAATCACCTGGGAAAGAACAAAGAAAGGAAAGCTTTCCTTGATATGCTTCTGAATGCCAGAGATGAAGACGGGAAGAAGTTGAGTTACAGTGGTATACGAGAGGAAGTGGATACATTTATGTTTGAGGTATAAAGTGATCAGAACACAACTGCAAAGAGATCACTGGAAATCAGATCATTTCTCTTTTGAATGCCACGGCTTTCTTCTGTAAGACTACAAAGCATAATAAATTATTTTTTCTTAGGCTACCAGTTGTAATATGCTAACACTTAACTATGTTTATTTTACATTCTGCTATAATGGCAAACATCCTTAGAGCAGCTAATATTTTAGAGACCAAGTTTTTTTTAATCCACATAATATGTGACCAAGAATAAGATTATACACCCACTGGAAGAATAAGGCTTTAACTAGGCTCTCTTAGGAAGGAAGTTCCCCAGAAGGGAGACTCATTATATAGCACTTATTTCCATCATAGCCACCTGGCATATATCCATTTTCAAAGTCCTTAACCATAATGGGTATGCCAGGTGGTTATAATGTAAGTAAGTGCTATATAATGACAACGATAAAGACTGAGAAGAGACAATTTTAAAGGTGGAAATTCGACCCCTAGTTTTGTGTCTGTGCCTCCCCCCCCTCCTGTCCTCGCCCCATCAAGTTTCTATTTTGTAACTCCTGGACTTCTTCCAACAGCAATTGGTAATCATTGTCAGTATATCATGTCCCATGTCTTTTTATTTAGTTGAAAAAAAAATAAAGATGAATTTATTCCATGTCAAGAAGAAGCAGCCAAACAAGCAAAACTCCAAAATGTCTGTTGAGAATAGACTCGGCATCACCTCTTTATTTTTTTTAACCTTGCTTTCAACCTCTCCAAAATTTTTAAATTTAACTGCAGCCTTCACTTAAAGTTCCTTCTTTTGATGTTTTGTTATTTTATGAAGCATGTAGGAGTTCCTATGTTTGACAGAGAATGCAAACACGGGAACTCCCACATGCTTCCTTCTTTTCTCCCTCCAGTAGAAACAGCAAAATTAAAATAAACTAAAAAATAAAACAAGATCTTGTTCTAGGCTGCACCGTATTTAATAGATCTGTGCAATCCTTCAGCTATCTACAAGTCTTTCAAGAGATCAGCCTATATGTGCTCACTAATGTCCATTAGTGAGCACATATATATTATACAGTCAAAATACTTCGTTCCTTTTAATCAAGCTCTCTATCCTTTTTTGCCCCCTTTAAATTTTGGCTTTTGAATCAAGGTTTCTTTCATGATTGCTTTTTGCATTGTAATTTCATGTTGTCCTTCCAGCATTGCTATTTAAAAGCAAAAGTATTGCTGTAAACCTGCCAAAGCTAAGTATTGTGATGACCATTGATTTCAGGGAGAAAATTGTGTGCCTGATTTTGGTTGAACTGCATCAACTGGCATACAGTTATGCAGACTTCCTTGGCCTAATGATATTGAGATGTATCAGAGTGACAACTTCCTTAGATCCCAACCAGCATGGCTATTAGCGTTTGCTGTTGGTAATTGTGTTGTAACTCATTGACAAGATACCAAGTTAAGAAACTTGTAATAAAGTTTTATAGTTTGAATTTTCTCCTCCTAGGGTCATGATACCACTGCTGTTGCCTTGAACTGGGCTATTTACTTACTTGCAAGTCATCCAGAAATTCAAAGAAAAGTTCACAGTGAACTGGATGAAGTTTTTGGTAAATGTTTCTTTCCTCTTAAGCATTTTAGTATAATTCTGGGGTTGAATAGAATTCACACAGATTCTATTCTGGTCAGGAATATTATACCCAGAGGAATAAGGAACTCTGAAAGCTGACATTTGAAAAGTAATCTTGATCATCCATAAATATTATGCCTTTTGACCATCAAGGGAGTTCCATTGTTTTTCTTTAAGAGGAGCATTTGTAGAAAGTTAGACAGTTTCCTTATTAACAATAACCATAAAAATCAAAATACCAATTTACTAACTCATGAGGCCTTAGAAAATGCCAGAAGAATCATAGATTGTAGTATTATTATTATGATAGGTTTTTATGCTGATAGAAATGTTATTAAGATGTTCGTGTTCTGATCTTTGAAACTACAGTTCAGTCAAAACTGGTTTTGAAAATATTTTGAGATATTGAATCAAAATTTCTATTTCTAGCCATATCAAGGTAGCTTCAAAACACTGTACATACAGCATATGTTTGTTTTTTGCATGAGCAGCATTATAAAGCACAGAAAAAGAATGAGAAATAGTAAGACATTTAAAAAGATGAAAAAGAAATATAGCTATTTCCAGTTTACCTAACACCTTTACATACCTTTCTAGCTTTGCAGATTATCCTTGCTTCAACCACTTCTGTGTCATGTCTACATTCTTTTGTTCTTTAAACTCCTTTAAATAAGGAGGAAAAAGGACACACTTGTATGAAGTCATTTAATTTCTTTTCACAGACACTTATTCTTCAGAACACATTTCTCCACCTTTAGAAATGATTTCCCATTTTTTCCAATCTTTAGTTAATGTTCTATCAAAGTACACAAATTCATCTACTGACTCTATTTTTTCATTTTCTAGATTTAAGTTTCTATTATCTATTTTCTCTGTCAAACACAACCACTTTGACTTTTGATACACTATTTTTCAGACACAAATTCCTTGTCAAAATACATAATCTATATAAAATTTGCTGCAAAACATTGGCCAGCAACACAGCATTATCTGCAACAAAAACGCACAAATATTCATGTCCCCAACTTCAAATACATCTTCAATGTTATTACATTCATTATTTATTTGTCATAAATACACTGAACAGCCAGTGGAACATTACATATCCTTGTATTACTCTCTGCTTAATGCTGAATCATTCACTGAGCATTATATTTATTCCCATGCATGCTTTACCCTGATAGATTTGTCATATTCAGCAATCAGTCTTTAACTCTATAAGCTATATATTGCTAAAACTCTTGTTGTCATGACTTTTAATTAAGTGAAATAATGCATCATAGGGCAACAATTTTTGGACCAACGTATCTTAAGTAGATTAACTTAAAGAATGTGTGCAAAGTCTGGGATCCATGACTCCTGACAAAATGAAATCTGGAGATGTTGTGGCAGCTTCAGTGCTACTGACTGCCACAGTCACATGAATTTTATTTTCAATTTAGTGGCAGTTTTTCAGCCAGTCTTGCATTTCCTTATTCTCTTCCCTAACCAACTGCAGCCAGTTACCTGCCTACTGGAAAGGGGAGGGGAGAAGAAGAGAGGGGAGGGAGGAAGGTAAAGGCTGTAAGAAAGAAGGAGGGAGGGAAGGAAGGAAGAATGGATTCTGTGGGAAGTTGGAAGTTGCTTCTTCTTAAACTGCTTTTTTTACTCACCCTTGTTTCTCTGTAAGGAAGTATCTCTGAAATTATAACCCATCAGGGCATGAGTTGTCTAGTATAAATGTATGAACTTCAATAGATTTATGCTCCAGCTTTGCATTCAAAGCAAAAGATCTTTTTTAAGAAGTTATTTATTCTCATTGATTCTAGGACTACAAATGACCTTAAAACTTATGTAGTGTCATAGAATCATAGAGTTGAAAAGGACTATCCCATATATTTATTTATTTTTATTTATTTATTTATTTGATTTGCCAATTGTTTACAAGATAATAAGTATAAGTGTATTGCTACTTTATGAAGGAGAATATAGTGGAACATTCATTTAAAATCTTTGTTGACATTTCCTAATCTATTAAGCTAGCTATTCTATCAAAAGAAGCAGATAATGTTAGCCTGGCATTATTTGTTTGCAACAAACCCATGCTGCTTCCTGTTAATTTTAGTTTGCCTGTCTAAAGGTCTCAGAAACATGATGTTGAATAATTTCTTTGAGGACATTGTCCAATGTAGATGTCAAATTCTGTAATTTCCCAGTTCTTCTGAATTCTCCTTTTGAAGAAATGAATGGCATTTGTTCTTCTCTAATCTTTTGGGCCTTCAAAGTCCTCCAGGAATTCTCAAAGATCATTATTCCTTCATGTATTCCTTCACTAGTTCCCTAACAGGTATTCCATCTTACTTTGGAAATGTGAATTTAATTAAATGAGCTAAGTTTAACATCTTGTCTACCCAGAGGTGCTGTTCCTGTTTAACCAGGGACATAGCAATGACTAACCAGGGCTCTAAGAAAAGACAGTTGCAAACTAATTGTAATTCTGTATCAGAAGTTCTGTTTTTCACTTTCACTCATCGGTCCTTCAACACTTTCTCCTCTTAATGGACCTACACTCTCTTTTCCTTTCCCTTTATTTCTAGCATATCCAAAGAACCCTTTTTGCTGTTTTGGGTAACTTACAAACATCAGCTTGTTTTGAGGTTTAGGCTTTCTGTCAGAGTTCTCATGATTTCTAGAGACTAATCTGCATTTTTCTTCAGTTATGTACCATTTCCTGGTACAAATCTCTTCAATGTTTCAAACTGCATACTGGTCTCTTTATACTTCTCCCATTTAAATTCTTAATGGGAGTTGTTTGCAATTGTACTCATTCAATTTCCCATCCTTCCAGGACACGTTATCTTCTTTTATCTTAAGGCACTTTTTCTGAAACCTATTATTTCACTTTCAGTGTGAAATAATCCCCTAGGGTGTAGCATGACCAGCCTATGAATTCCTATTTTAATAGACACCCACAACACTTCGAGATGACACCAATATATACCAAAATCATAGATTTTACCCCCCGTTCATTCATAATTAAAGCTATATCTTTTCTTTTTGACATGTATTCACTAATTCGATTCCACAAGACAGAGTCCCCTTGGTTATAACTATTACATATTTCCCCCTTCCTTATCTTCACAAGTACGCAAATCTTCATTTGTCTTTCTTTCATTTCATTCTCTTTATCTTTCACTTTTCTCACATTCCAAGCTCCCATAGACTATAATCTTCATTAGATTGATCCCTAGACTTTGATACAAAATTACAGAATAACACAGTTGGAAGGGACCTTGAAAATATTCTAGTCCAGGGGTCGCCAACCTTTTGGATCTCAGGGACCACCAAACTCATACTTTTAAATTCCAAGGACCACTAATACATTTTTTTAAAAAAGCTAATATATTTAATATAATTTTTATGTTAAATATAAATTTCATACACACACACACACACACAGATACATACATGATACACACACACACACACACACACATATACACATACACTTATTTAATTATAACAAAAATGTAAATGCTTAATGATAACAAAATAAAATGTTCTGGGCTGAAAGCCTCCCCCCACCTGGCACCTTCCAAAGAGACAGAAGAGCGGGCAGTGTGTGTGTGTGTGTGTGTGTGTGTGTGTCTGAGCTGAGGGGCCTCCGGGCAACTGCCGCCAGGAGAAGCAGAGGCAGAAAGGGGGCTTTGCTCTCCTTGGGGGGCAGCGCCTGGGCTTCTCAGCAGGCATCTGCCTGCAGAAGGACTGTCATTCTTGGTGATTAATTGGGGAAGGGGAGGGGGAGAAAGTGGGAGCTCCTTTCAGATCCCAGGTGGAGGATTGAGAGGCTCAGATCTGCAGCCTCACCTGGAGATAGGCAAGGAAAGGTGTCCCTGGGGGCACTTTGCTCGCTTTAGCATTTCGCTGCCAAGCCCAACCATAGCCAGTGATTATTTGGGGGTGGGGGGGGAGAGAGAAAGCATGTCTCGCATTACCAGGGGAGGAAAGGAGACGAAACAAAGCTCACTCCTTCACTGAGACCTACAAAGCACCACTCTACCATGTTCCAGGAGTTCTTCGAAATAATCAAATACTCCCACTTGCAGTTCCCGTGCCTCCCGGCTCAGGTCCCTGAGATGCACGCTCCCACGCTCTCCCCATTAGTTTTCTAGCTTTGAATTGCTCCTGCCTCTCTTTCCTCCTCCCCCCCCCCCCCCCCCCCCGTCCCGCGGGGAAGGGAAGGGGGACGGGGCCGTGCACAGCTCTCCACTCTCCCATCCCTCACTGCCTCTCCCAACATAGAAGCCTCAGAAACGCAGGCAAAGCTGCCACAGCAGTAGTGCCCTGAGTTGCTTGCTTCTCCACTACTGGCTCCTCCTCTTCCAGCATCACTTCCTTCTCTGGGTAGGGCGATTCTTAACAAACTGAGTATGCTAAGGCAACTCAGGATGCTACCGCTGCGGCGGCTTTGCCTGCATCTCCGAGGCTTCGATGTTGGGAGAGGCAGCGAGGGGTGGGAGCATGGAGAGCTGTGCACAGCTCCGTCTCCTTTTCGTTTCCTGCCTGCACGTGGGCATGGGAGGGGAGGAAAGAGAGGTGGGAGCAATTTAAACCTAGAGAACTAATGGGGAGAGCTAACAGAGGGCTCTGGGGGAGGGGAATGCTGTTGCCGCCTCCGCTGGGTGTAGGAGCTGGTTGACGCGTGCATCTCAGGGACCTGACTCTGGGAACCCTCAGAGAGCCGGGAGGCGCGAGAACTGCATGGCCCAGATTAATTGCTTTTGGGGGCCATTTCTTCTGCAGCCCAAATTTTTTCCATGGCCCACCAGCGGGCAACTGCTGTTCTAGTCCAACCCTTGCTCAAGCAAGATACCCTATACAATTCTTGAAAAATTGGCTGTCCAATCTCTTGAAAACCTCCAAAGTGTGATGAAGCATTTACAACTTCTGGAGGCAAGCCATTCCACTGATTCATTGTTCTCACTTACATGATATTTCTTCTTAATTCTAGGTTGAATCTCTCTTTGATGACCTTTGATTTGTTACTTCTTGTCCTGCCCTCAGGTGCTTTGGAGAATAGGTTGACGACTTCTCTCTGTGACAACCTCTCAAATATTGCTAGCTTGACTTCTCTTCATTAGGCTAGACATGCCCAGTTCCTAGTCCTTATTCTGGTTAAACAAGACTTTCATTTATCGTTTTATAAATAGATAGAGCCTATATCTAAACTAGATGACCAGTCTTGTGCCGTACATAGTGTTCTCTGATAAGGACATTACCAGTCAGTTCTAACACATTTTGGCAATTAAAGCTGTTCTACCACAAGCATGCAAATGTTTTTGTATCCGAGTTAATAACCCTTCTGTAGTAATTACCTTATTGAGCTAGCATATTTTTGCTCTTTTATCAGGTGATTCTGATCATCACATCACAATGGAAGATTTAAAAAAACTGCGATATCTGGAGTGTGTCATTAAAGAAGCACTTCGTCTTTTCCCTTCTGTTCCAATGTTTGCCCGTACTCTGAAGGAGGAATGCTATATTAGTAGGTACTCCAAACAGGTTGTAAGGAGAAGTTTTGTGCTATTGGACTTTATCAACTTAAAGAGCTGTGGTAGCACAGTGGTTAGAATTCAGTATTGCAGACTAATTCTGCTGACTGCTGACTGCCAGCATTTCAGCAGTTCGATTCTCACCAGATCAAGGTTGACTGAGCCTTCCATCCTTATGATGTTGGTAAAATGAGGATTCAGATTGTTGGGAACAGTATGCTGACTCTGTAAATGACTTAGAGAGGGCTATAAAGCACTATGAAATGGTATATAAGTGCTGTTGTTATCTTGGGATGACAAATATTTGTTGTTCTTTGGCAGGAGGATATAAGATACCAAAAGGGATGGATATCATGATTCTGCCATATGCATTGCATAGAGACCCTGACAATTTTCCAGAGCCAGAGAAATTCAGACCAGAGCGTTTTTTTCCTGAGAATTCCGCTGGGCGACACCCATATTCTTATATCCCTTTTTCTGCTGGGCCCAGGAATTGCATTGGTATGTACACAGAACAAAGTTGTATATCCCTTGGTTCTCTGAAGAATGATATTTCTTGTAATGATGACATTTTCCCCCAAAGAAGTAATGTTTAGAACATAGAATAATAGAGTTGGAAGGGAGCTTGGAGATTCTCTAGTCCAACCCCTCCTCAACTAGGAGTCCCTATATAATTCTAGACAAATGCCTGTCCAATCTCTCCTTGAAAGTGTTGGAGCACCCACAACTTCAAAGGTATTAATTGTTCTTACTGATTAATTGTTCTTACTGTCAAGAGATTTCTCCTTACTTCTAGATTGGATCTCTCCTTAGTAATCTTCCATCCAGTAGCTCTTGTCCTGCCTTCCGGTGTTTTGGAGAATATATCCAGCCCCTCTTCTCGGTGTCTGTACTCAAGTACTGGAAGATTGCTATCACATTACCACTAGTCTTTCTGTTTTTTAGACTACACATGCCTAGTTTCCTCAATCATTCATGTATGATTTAACTTCCAGAGCCCTTATCATCTTATTCCTCTTCTCTGCACTTTTTCTAGGGGTCAAGATCCTTTTTGTATTGTGACCAGAATTGATGCAGTATTCCAAATGTGGTCTCACGAGACAGTATAAACATTTGGAGTAACTCCTAGAAGTGTCACAATTCATGCTTGCTTTCTTGGAAGAAAATATCAAGAAGGATCTTTCAAGACATCACACTTTAAAATAATTATGCAGAAAATAACAAAGGCATATAAATAATGACAGCGATCTGGAAACCTAGTGGTATGGGGAATAATTAAAAGAGAGATAATATGTAGCTTCTAAAAGAGCAGTCTAAGACCAGAAATAAAAACACTACAAATATCTAAAAAGCTGATACGTTTGAGAATTGGCAGACTTATTTTCTTTAGAAGTTGAAGGCGGGTCAAAGGGCAATGGAAGTATGGCCACGTGATTGAAGTTGATAAGTAGTGGAGCATTTGCTTAGAACAATGTTGGATATCCCTGGACTGGAGGTTTTTAAATGAGTTGTGGTGGTCATGTCTAAGCCATTATTTCATGGAATCCAGCACTGAACAGAAAGATAATTTATATATTTCTTCTAATTCCTACAATAATTATATTACTTTTCTCTGTTTGTGCTTAGGAGTAAAATGTGCATAAGATATAGATAAAAAGACATTGTTTGTTTATTTAACTAGTAATTTCAGTCTAATATTTTGCATTTTGCACTAGAAAAAAATAGGCCTGTCATTATATTGCTGAGATAGAACCAGCATCCATTATTTCCTACAATATGAATAATTTCTTTATAAATTAAGATTCATGTATTCGTTGCTCCTTTCTTCTCTTTTGTACCTCTAAATGGAGCAGAGGCCTTTATCATCAAACAAACTTCATTGCCCATGATGTTAACATATGGGTAATCATTATAATTTAATCATGTTTAATGAGAACAACCAAGTGCATGGATTATTCTCATTAATGGTTTTACCGTTTTAGTGATTACAAAAAAATTCAATATGTTTGAAAGCAATGGGTGATATAACCCCAAAGATTCAAAGACTCAGTAAAATGATGGAATATCAATCCTCTGAAAAGTCTCACAGTAAAGAAGTTTTGCAGCTGAAGAGAATGTTAGAAGGATATAAAATTTATTTTCAATGTGTTGACAGTATGTGTTGACAATGACAGTACTATACTACTGTCTACTTCCTATTACACTGCTTTACCCAATGGAATGGCTTTGATTTGACATCTGTATAATGATGCTAGCTGCTTAATAAGGATAGAATATATCTCCTAATATCACTCAGTGATGTTTTGGCTGATCCATTATTAGAGTTTCATGTATTGTGCAGCCTTAACCAATCAATCTGTTATCTTGACTGTTGTTGAATTACATTGGATAAATATTATCACTAGAGAATAAATATTTAGTATCACAGTTCAGTTAATGCCTTTACTTTTGAAACTCATATATAGGTCAACGCTTTGCCCTGGTAGAAGAAAAGGTAATTTTAGCAACCATATTGCGACATTTTTGGATTGAAACTAAGCAGAAATATGAGGATGTTGGTATGGTTGCAGAACTGATTCTTCGTCCAAGCAAAGGCATCTGGATTCAACTAAAAAAGAGACCAACTCCTAGCTCTTAGTATAAGAAACTACAGGAGTAGTACATTCTATCATTTCATCAATAAAAACCATGGATTTTGATGGATGGACAATAAGGATGACTGGTAATGAAGAAAGTAACTTGCTTTTAGAAAACAATTACAATCAAAGAGTTTTGGGATTGTGGACCAATGCTCAAATAATTACCGTGTTTCTCACATAATAAGGCCGGGCCTTATTTTTCTTTGACCCCTGAAAAAACGGCTAGGCCGTCTTTTTGGGGGTGACTTAATTTCCTCCCCCACCTAGAGCGGCCCATGTGCGCGTATCTCTCCGCGAGGCCGCTTCTATCTGCCCATCGAAAGCTCCCTAAAGGACACAGTCCCCAGCTGCTTCGGGCGAGGCG